CTCCCCAGTTCCTGTCAACCCAACAGTTCGAAAACTCATGTGAGTAGATAAATGGGGACTCTCACTCCGGTGGGAGGAAAAATGCTGGCGGTGCCTTGCAAAGGAGTCGGGAGCAGTTGCCAGTAAGCGCAAAAAACCACGCGCGACCAAAAAGGGCGCAAAGCAACGGAAACCCTGCCTCCTGGGCTCGCCAGCTGGGCTCTGCTCTAGGAAGGAGGCTCTGGCAAACCACTTCCATAACACTTGCCTTGAAAACTCCAAGGACTCGTCCAAGCAGTCACTGCAGAGTCAGTAACGACTGAGCGCAGATTAAATTTTTTTTTTGATAATGACAGATCTCACACTGAGGTGGTTACTGATTTTTTAAAATATTAGTCCATTAATTTATTGGTGTTGGGCACACAAAAACTAGAGAATATTTAAATACTATTCCTAATTTAAAAGGAAGGGTTTAAAACAAAGCTGATATTCCATCTCCCTTTTACGTAAGGTGGGAATGGTAAGGGAATGTAAAGGAAAAGGCTGGTATAGAAGAAGGGAATTCATTGCACCTTAGAGTATTATTGAATGTTCAATAACCACTTTTGGCCTTTTATAAATTGGACGGTCACAGCAATCAAAATCCAAGGTTCTATCACTAAATCAAACTGAGATAATTTGGAAATAGTAAAGAATACTGGCAAGTAAGTTTCCAGCTTGAATTTCAAGAGTCCACATCACTGATTTGAAGCTCAGAAGTCTCCTGTTGTATTTGGCTGAGCTACAGTTCCTAGTAACACCATTCTGCAGTTTTAATGCCCACTACATAGTAAAAATTATTCCAGACAATAATTCAGTTAAAGTACTGAATTAGAAGAGGAACAGTGGTTCAACCTTGCCTCTTGTCTCTGCATCAAGTGAGCTGACAAAATTATTGTTTTGCAGTGGGAATTATCCAAGACAGCCATATAAATCAGGAGTAGCATGCAGTGAATGTCATGGAGAGCCTTGCGTAGACAGACTTTGTGGTAAGTAAAAGGACTACTATACTTTCTCTTCCTCTCCTGTCACATTCTGCAAGTCAGGATTTTTTTAAAAAACCTTTTCAAAACAGAACTTCCATGAATGAAATAACAATCTTTAATTAACTAAAAGTCCTAAACTTACACGAGTTTCTTATGTTTATAGTGATTTGACATTAATGTAGATGCAACTGTAAATAATGTTTTTTAATTTATTTGTAGGTAAAGTATGGATGAAGCCACATTGTGATCTGTACTGCATCATCATTCTAGTCCTGAGAACATCTTCATTTTTAATTACTTTTGTAGTTGTCTTTGTTCTGAAGCAACATTATCCCAGCCTATTTATGTATAAGTAAACTGGAACAAAAAATAAGCACTTTTGAAAGGTATTAAACAATGAATTGATAAGAAGAGTCAGACATCAGAGATCTTTAGATACATTTTCAAATTGTTTTTGGGGGATTAAAAAAGTACATGAAGCAGAAAAAGGCCTTCTTCCAAAGGTAAACATTCAATAAGCATAAAGTTATGACTTACTGACGACAACATTCACATAGTACCATTCTACTGATCTCCATTCATCACACTCCCGGCCCTTTGTTGACCTGAATGAACAAAGTAACTCGACATACAACTGCAACCAGCATTTGGAAAGCAAAATTCTCCAGTAATATAAACAAAACTTAAAAGAGCATCCCCCCCCCCAAAAGATTGAGGAAGTAGTTTATACAAGCCTAGTAGATCTAAAAATCAATAATAAAGCAATACACATTTTTACTTGGAAAATGTTTCAGCTGCCGTATTACTTCTTGCAGTGTTCTGGACAACTATCTTTCAGAGTCCCATACAATAAAACAAATAAAACCAAGTATGCTGGTAAGTATTCGTACACTGTACAAAATCTTTTCAATGGTAGTCCTGTGTATGCTACCACTTTTACACCAAGTTATAAGTCAACTGCTCATTCTAATGGATATCATAAATATGCAAGTATTTCCCATACTGCTTAAAATACAACAGAACAAGCCATCTGTCAGTTTTAGATTAACAATTTGAAATGGTGTTTTTTCCTCCCTCCTTTCCTCAGGGAATGCAACATTTTCGTCTTCTATGGTTTTAACTGACAATAAGGCAAGTAAATGAAGTCAAATATAAAACTTGAGTTCATAGCTTTCCTCCTTACAAAAAGTGAAGTGCTATAACTTTAAAGGTAGTTTCTTTTTCTTTTCATCTGCTGCAATTTTTAATCTAACTTCTTCTTCTGATAGTGCTCCAAGCTTCTTCTTCTTTGCCTTTTTAACTTTTTCTTTAATTGCTTCAATATCAATCTTTGTTTCAGTTGATGCTACAGAGTGAAAGAATATATTGTTTCTTATTTATATGTCAGATCCAAGAGACATTCAAAACATTTTCAAGCATAACAAATCAAGTTTTCAATAAAGATATAAAACACGAAAAAGCCAGAGTTACATGTCAAGCTACGGAATCCAGTTATCTTAATGTAGCTAAAGGGATTATTTTACAAGTTGTAAGCTTTTAATTCAACCATAAGATGTAGATTTTGGATCCAAAGCTATGAATTAAATTTGAATAACTTCCAAAGCATATTAATAGCATTTCAGATGAATCTATTTTTTAATGCTTTGAACAGTAAGCTAATTACTGTTAATATTAAGCTAATATTAAATCAGCCAACACAGGAACTTTGGGAGACTAGAAGTAGAGTTATCTGAAACCAAAGTACCTTTACAAAGAAGTTTTGTAACTGTTCTTGTCTGAAAGGTAGGTAGAGTCTATGCTACAGGAGTAGTCTTTTAATATCAATGAACTTTGATTTACACGACCTTGTTTAAAGTACTATTTATCAAGTGGATCAGTTCTTCCTGTCGCATTTCATAACTTCTTAATCTTATAAATTAGTTTTTAATGCAGATTTTAGGTTTAAAGAATGTAAAACAAATGTCAAGGAGAGAGATATCCTTGTTACCTTGTGTTAATACATTAATGTATTTCCTTGAGTGAGAATATAGTTAACATTTTTAGCAAATTAACCTTCCATTAGTTTTCTGTCCCTCAGTCTTCTCAACAGAGAGACCAAGAGTAATAATTTATTTTGTAGATAACAGATCAAAATGTTTTCTCTCCTCTGTAATGCAGAGACTGTCTTTTTAAAAAATATTAAGAATAATGGGAGCAGAAACCAATCTTACCTTTCTTTGGTTTTACAACAAGCTTTTCTTTAGGTGGAATAAAGGCTTTATTTCTCTCCTCTTGTCGCTTGCTAATTGCTTCTGCTTGCTTTGCCTAAGCATCAAAAAAGTTCATGTAGCACACACAAAATTAAATACATATTTTAATTAACAAATCACATCTTCATTCTGGCACAACCACCACCTATGTTAATTAACAAAGAATTCAAGAGACTGTACCTTTATCTCTTCTATTCTCTTACGCTTCTTTTGACTTTCTTTCAAGAAATATTCACCACTTGCTAATTCTTTATCAACCTGTAAAAATAGTATGATCATACATATTCCAGTGAAAAATATTGCCATGGTTCCATATTTAAAAAATTAGTTGCCATGGTTCCTTATTTAAAAAAATCAGAAGTTAAATAATAGTCTTAATAATTCTGACAATGTCAAAGCCAAGTGATGTTAAAGTTGAGAAGATACTGTTAAATACATATATTCACAATTAACTTTAGTATTAATTTAACCTGCTAAGTTCATTTTGGGTAGCAAATCATTACACACAGATACACACATACAGTATTGTGCAAAAGTTTTAGACAGGTGTGAAAAAATGCTATAAAGTAAGAATGCTTTCAAAAATA